TTAAAAAAACCAAAAAGTTCTCATGAAGCTTGGCTACATGACACATTTAACTATCAAAAAGAATTGTATGGACTTGGCCTTTTAACTTCTACTGGACTTTATAACCGTGTCATAAGTGTTTTGGTTAAAGCCTATTAACTTTAAAATGTGATAGTTGTACATTAAAGAACATTTTGAATCCTTAGCAAATTAAAAAGAAGGGTAGAAAAATCACCAAAAGTCCCAACCACTTCACCGACACTATTACTAAATCACTATTTTCTAGACTTGCACTGCTCAATATGGTAGCAATACTACATATGGCTATTAAAATTAAAATTAATTAAATTAAATAAAATTCAAAAAGTAATTTTTCCATCATACTAGCTACATCTCAAGTCCCAGATAGCTGCACGTTACGAGGGGTACTGTAGTGCAATGCAGATATAGAACATTTTTATTGTCATCAAAAGTTCTACTAGATAGCACTGTTCTAGATTTTTTCTCTTGCATATAGCCTTTAGTTAATATACTTGCAATGGTATCATATATGTAATTTTTGTCTCTTTTTTAACTTAATTGTAAAAATATATTTCCATGACATTATACAGTTTACATTAATGTGATTTTTCATACAGTTGGTTTAACTATTTCCCTGTTACTGGACACACAGGTTATTATCAATTTTTTTTGCTATACTAAATAGCACTGCTCTGAATTTTTGTGTGATAAGCACATTTCTATACAAGTATAGTTTCTTAAAATAGATTACCTGAAATTAAATTACTGAGACCAGGTTTTTTTCTCTTGGGTGTTATAGAATTTAGGTGGTGGCAGTAAACCCAACTGCCTGACAGAAGCAAATCCAATTCTCTCTGGAGGAAGGTCACTCATTCAACCTTCAAGTTACTCCTACATATTTTCAGTTTTGATTACCAGGACACAGTAAAAAATAACCAAGAACACAAGGAAACTCGGCACCACAACTGAAAACCCAGAGGAATACTATCCAAAAGGAAAATACCCATAAAGACTTTGGAAACTGAAGTAATCTAACTACATTTATGAAAATAGAAGATCAGCTTGAAGATATTGGAGGGAATAGAAGAAAACTATAAAGTGACACACAAGATTTAAAAAGAAAAAAGGTGAATTTATAGAAATGAAAAATACAACAACTGAAATCAAAAACTTAAAAGATGAGAGTTAAAAAGCAGGTTAGACCCAACTAAAGAGAGAACTGATGCCCTGGAAGAGAGTAAAAAAAAAAATTAATAAAAGTCAAAATTCACTATAGGGACAAAAAAAAAAAAGGTAAGAAATACAGAAGAGAGTATATTACACAAAAATAAAATGAAAGGTCCAAAATATATTTATTCAGAATAACAGAAGGAGAGGAAAAAGATAATCAGGCAGAGGTAATTGTGAAGGTTAATTCTAGACATCAACTTGGTTAGATGAAGGAATGCTGGGAAACCTGGTAAAGCTATCTTTTTAGGTGTATCCATGAGGGTGTTTCCAGCAGAGATTAGTATGAAAGTCTGAGTGGCCTGGGTGTGACAGACCCACCCTCAGTGTGGGTGGGAACCATCCAATCCACTGGGGGTCCAGAGAGAACAAAANGAATAACAGAAGGAGAGGAAAAAGATAATCAGGCAGAGGTAATTGTGAAGGTTAATTCTAGGTGTCAACTTGGTTAGATGAAGAAATGCTGAGAAACCTGGTAAAGCTATCTTTTTAGGTGTATCCATGAGGGTGTTTCCAGCAGAGATTAGTATGAAAGTCTGAGTGGACTGGGTGGGAAAGACCCACCCTCAGTGTGGGTGGGAACCATCCAATCCACTGGGCGTCCAGAGAGAACAAAAGACAGAGAAAAGAGGTGAAGCGCTCTCTCGATCTGCTGGAGCTGGGATACACCCTTCTCTCCTGTCTGTGGACATCAGAGCTCGAGACTCTTCAGCTTTTGCATTCCAGAATGTACACCAAGGACACCATCAGCTTCCCTGGTTTTGAGGTCTTTGGACTTGTACTGAGCCACGCTACTGGCATCCAGTTTATAGATGGCCTATCATTGGGCTTTTCTTCATAGCCACATGAGCTAATTCCCCTAATAAATCCCTCTCATATAATTATAACATATCCTATTGATTCTGTCTCTCTGGAGAACCCTGACTAATACAGTAATATTTAAACAGATAATGGATGATAATTTTTCAGCTCTGATAAAAGAGACTAATCCACAGATTTAAGAAGCCCGGTGAATCCCAAGCGGTATGGAAAAAAAAAATTCCTAGACACAGCATCATGAAACTGCAGAAAACCAAAGACAAAATGAGAATCTTAAAAGCAGCAGAGAAAAAAAAAGTTGAGTTTACATTTAAAGGAGAGCAATTAGACTAGAAGATAACCTCCCAACAGCAACAGCAGAAGTTAGAAGGCAGTAGAATGTCTTTCGTTTGGTGAAAGAAAATAATGGCCAATCTAGAATTCTATACCCAATGAAAATATTTTTCAAGAAAGTGTGCCAAAAACACCCCATTTCCTTGCAAGGACAGAGAGTTTGTCACTAGTAGTCCCTTATTAAAGGAAATTCTAAAGAATGTTCTTTGGTAGTTAGTCTAAGATTCAAGAAAAATGAAGTGGTACATAGTATATACGGGTAAAACAAAAAGTTGGCTGATAAAACAATAATGATAATGGCTTGTGTTGTTCCAAAAGACAGTATAAAATAAAATGCACAACAACAGTAGGACACAAATTGGGAAGAAGGCTAAATGCAATTACAGTGTTCTAAAGTACTTGGTTCAGGAGAAGGGCAAATAAATAGATTAACTTCAGACTTTGATAAGTTGAATTTGCTTGCTGAAATTTGTTGGGTAGCAAAAAAAAAAAAAAGTAGAAACAGAGGGTATGACTTCCAAGCTAGTATAAGAGAAACAAAAAAAACTTGTTTTAAAATCCTCCAAATGACATGAAAGGATAAGAGAAAAACACATAACAAAGAGAGAAATGGAAAGCATCAAAGAATGTCAGTAATTATATGTAAATAGACTAATGCTCTAGTTAATAGACAAAGACTGTCAGATTCGAATTTTTTTCTTTCCTTTTTTTTTTTTACTAAAAGAGAAAATTCCAACTGCAAGGATACTTTTTAAAGTTTATGGAAAAATAGAATTAAAAGATAATACAAATCATTTCAGGAACTTTTTGAAGTACCCTCCTATATACTGTTTACAAGAGACACATCTAAATATAAGGATACAAAAAGATTAAATATAAATAAATAAAATATAAAGGTAAAAATGTTAAATATAAATAAATAAAAATGATATATTATAAAAATACTGAAAGATTATACTCATATTTATATCCTTTACTTATAACAGTTAAAAATCATTAATAGAGATAAAAAGGATCACTTAATAATGATGAAATTTCAATCCACCAGGAAGTTATAACATTACAAAATATTTTGCCCATATTAACGTGGCCTCAAAATATATAAAGCAAAATTTCACAGAAATAACAAGAGAAATAAATCCATAATCATAATGGGTATTTTAACCTACCCCTTTCACTAATTGAGAGGACTACTACACCAAAAACATGGCAGTAATAGTATAGAACATTTGAAGGGCCGGCCCGTGGCTCACTCGGTAGAGTGCGGTGCTAATAACAACAAGGCCATGGGTTCGGATCCTATATAGGGATGGCCGGTTTGCTCACTGGCTGAGCGTGGTGCTGATAACACCAAGCCAAGGGTTGAGATCCCCTTACCGGTCATTTTTATAAAAAAAAAAAAAATAGTATAGAACATTTGAACAATCCATTTAACAAATT